GCAAAAATGTAATATAATTACAACGCGACGCGGACGTTTACAGAAGGATTTGTCTGTTCTAAGACAGAGCCGAAGAAATTCTAAATATATGTCTGTGTAAAATTACAAGAATATTCAAAGCAATTAAATACAAATGATATTATTAGAAAGTTATAGGATGAATTTCCATGGGGTCAAAGATCGGGAAAACAAATATATTACATGTTTGTTACTTCTGTACTAAATATTTGCGCGATGTGATGTAAAACGAATTACGAATTATGATGTGACAAAACATAAATTATCAACTAAGTGTACCAGAAAAACTAGACTTTCTGTACCCTAATTTTATTTCAACAACAGGAACGCAAATGCAATAAAACGTCCAACAACCGGAACGCCGTTCCGGTGCGTTCTGCTACAGTCCACCACTGCCTCTAATCTCTTGAATGTCACATGACAAGAATATGAAAAAGTATACAAAAACTCGCTGCGTCAAGTATTGTAGTTTTGGGCTGTGGATTAGGGTTATGCATGGACTTAACATAATTTTTAGCCTGAAATATTCGCTTCAAAGTAGTGGTCTTCTGGGATGGCCAAAATCAGAACAGGTTAATAGTGATTAATCCGATTCACTGTTTTCTTGTTTAGTATTTAAGGAATTCATATTCTTAAGGACAAGCCATTGCGTAGGCCGTAGAATATAGTTTTAGTAAGCTGTAACTGATAGATTTTATGATGAAGCGCGAATACAAAATTGCTTTACGTTAACAAAAATGTATACCCCAGAATCGACATCTAGGAAATCTTGTAAATAATAGGGCCTATTTGAGAGCGGATGGATATTGAAAATGGCGTCGATTTAACGATAGAATGACTTTTTTTATCATTATGATAAAGTGTGACTAGATATGTGAGCTCGAATTTTAGGAACGTCTAACTTAGCGTAATTTTATCAGAGTATCATTATTTTCCTATATATACCAGAGTAGTAGTGAGGCATTTATAGAAGCCTGTTACAATTTTTTCAGTAACAGTTTAAGAAAAGTTTGAATATAATTGACTAGCACTGACAGAATCATATTCTTTGAACCGGAAACAGTGGGGATTTCAGTGAACAACATTTCCCATACATCTGGAAGGTCCTGGAGGTTAGACATTTGGTATACAATTTGGATTAACTTGTTAAAAAGAATTCGCTTTGTCATTCCACAGCATGGTTTTTGTTTTCTTTCCCGCTTTGCATCCGCTAGTCGCTGGGTTCCTTTTTAAGTTTGATAAAGAAATACCCTAAAACGGCGATCAAGCAGACAGGCATAGCTGTTTCTGTTCGTTCAGGTACAGGATCAGTGGCCTCTGCCATGTACCAATCGACTCGTACATCACCATTCATGTGCTGGATTTCACCGACCGTTCAATGAGTTTAATTTAAATTGTCCTGTGTCGTCATGACCATTCAGTGTAGTAGCTCACCGCAAGTTCATACTAGTTGCTTATATTCCATTCTGTGTTTTTACTGGTATAGTTTGGTGGGTCAAGCTTCGGGTGAATGCGATGAAAAAACCCGCAAACTAAAAAATACTTTCAAATGCTAAAGACCATGCTAAGATAACCATGACAGTTCTCGTGAAGATGCCTTGTAATTTATGCCTTGAAGAAAATTGGAGATGATTTCTGTACAGTGTACACTGCGACCCTACGGGGCATGTGATCAAATAACTAGTGCAAATGCGATAGCGCAACACTAGACGCAACAACAACAACAACACAAACCAGAATGGGTATGGATATTTTCATCGTCGTCACGGTTTAAATTCACCTATTTTACGTTCGCGTTGTCTGAACTATATCTTTCGCATGTTCTTCTCAAGCCTCGAGCCAAGTTCAAACATCTGACAGGCCACGTCAGACCACTGAGACCAGTACTGCTCGTTTCATATCTGAAGTCCAGTTACTCTGCATTAGGGTTACCATATTTGGAAAAGCAAAATTCCGGACAGTGCATGACTATGTCGCACAACCTTAGTCCTAACCGGTACACAAAAACTATGTTCAGGTTGTGCGCCATCTTGGTGCGCATACTTCTTTCCGGAGGTCCCCTTTTTCATGAGACCATATATATGCGCTACCAAAATGCTAAGGCTGTACGATACTCATGCTAACGTTGTGCGATACTCATGCTAAAGCGCCAGCTACCGAAATGAAAAGTATTGTCTTCAGTCACAAGCAGAATCTCACACCAGGCAGGTAAGCACACTCTAAATATTAGGGATGGGACGAGTCCGGCATTACAAAGATTCGACGAATCCGAGTAATAGGTCAAGGACTCGAAACGAATCTGCCGAGTCCGTGACGTCATAATGGAAAAGCACAAAAACGTGTTTTTGACCATGCTACAGCATCGTGCGCTCACAAACATACGTCGTAGCTCATATTTTTTGCCTAATGGTTCCGCGGATAGCTGTTGAGTCATTTTAAATATATATTTTTTCTCTTTTTTTGGCGGCCCTAATACAAACGTAAACGTGGGCAATGTGCGCCTTGGCTGTGAACTGGATTTCCAGCCCACCTTGCGGCTATTCAGAAATTCTTACATGTCAACATGAACAATAAAAAGCTTTCGACTACAATGCTTTCCCATAATTCCAAATATTTCTAGCCGTAAATTTACTATGTCATGTGCGCATATGGTAGAGAAATGCCTCTCGTCGTCAATACAATGTAGTAGGCTACATCTACTTGCAATTTAGTAGTTCATGTAAACGTTCTAAAACTATCCATCCTTTCCATTGCCTTTTTAGCGAAAGGATTCCACGCAATAAACTCGATTTAAAAGAGGTATTGATGAGATTCCCCATTGGGTTGATCCAGAACATGTTTCATTTTGACGCAAATCAAAAACTCAAAAATATTGCAATAACACATATTTTATTGTGTACCACATGTATACCAAACAGAATAGATAGTTTGAAGGCGACTGGCGCAACATCATTGTTATGAGCGATCAATAGTTTTTAACTATCATTATATTATCTGGATATCTGTCTTCGTTTTATTAGGAATGTTTATATTGCACACGAAGGATATTGTTACAGATCTAACCTTGAATTTTACTAGTTAAGGTATGTAGTGGGATTTATAGAGGCAAAAGTACAAACATAGGCGTAAATTAGTAAAAACAGAATTGATTATGGACTCGGTAAAAATGACGTGGACCTGAAATCGAATCCGAGTCCAAAAAATGCCTGGATTCGACTCGAATCCGAGTCCGGATCCGAATCCCGGCCCATCCCTACTAAATATAGCTACGGGCCGTCGACTGAAAAAATCTCAACTTCAGAGTGAAAAATAAGAATGAGAATTAGATTGTGCCGAAACGGAAAAACAGCAATTACATGCTTAAAACAAATTAAAGACAATCACTACAAATTTACTCTTCTGACCATGCATATTTTTCTGAAGATCTAATTCTCTTCTTGTCTGATTTCAAAAATGAAAACAATTCACTACAGTGCATATCTTTGAAATTATATTGGAGAGTCAACATGCCTTTTATAGTCGCAACTTGTTTCTCTCTTTAGTCCACTGACTTTGCATCAGTGAAAAGACTCTCTCTACATTGGCATTGTGGGATGTAACAGCAAAGAAAAACAGTTCAATCCTTAAAATTTCGGAGTGGCATGTGATGTTCGTAGACTGATCGGAATATTTGCACCATTCTTCGTCTTGTAGGTAACTTTCCACAAACTGCTTCAAGTTACAGAATTGGTCAAAGCATTTATCATCGTCCACATCAACCCGTTTACTAATCAGATGTTCCAGGCAAGACTTTACATCAGGGGTCGGCAACCTTTTGTCGATCGCGGGCCAAAACCAAAGGTTGCAAGTCATTGGCGGGCCTCATATTTTTAGAATGTTGAAAACCGAACGGATAGCCGATGAATCACACTTTTTCACACAGATCAGAAGTTAAATTTAGAGCAGCGCACGAAGACTGACCATTTGAATATTTTCTGCACCATTAAACCATTTGCGCTAAGCATCAACTTTTCTGCGATTTGTTGCCATTTGTGTAACTATAATTAAATTATAGGGTCATTAAACGCGCAATTGTGAATTATATACTTGTTAGGTTATAACATAATTTAGCCTACGCGTGTCGCAAAATTAATTCTGTTACGTAAAGGATATAATCGTTAAAACAGCTGTTTTGTTACTATAATCCAGTGAAGCGTCGCGGGCCGGATTATATTGCTCCGCGGACCGGATCCGGCCCGTAGGTTGCCAACCTCTGCTTTACATCCTTCCAACTTGGTATCTCGTTCAAGGTTATCCATTTGAAACAAGTAAACTTTTCCATTGGTTTCATCCATTTGCACAGGTACTCCAAGCATCTCCCATAGACGTTTGCAACTTTAACACCATTGATAAGGAAAACGCTCTGTTATATTAAAATTACATACAACCTCGTAGTAAAAATATGCGCACGGTACGAAATAACAATGTTCTGTATTAGCAGTGTGCACATTACGATTGCAGATGCAGTGAAATTCCGGACATTTGAGCATTTTTTAAAATTCCTCCCGGACGCAAAATTTAACCCTAAATTCCGGACATGTCCGGAATTTTCCGGACGGTATGGCAACCCTACTCTGCATTCAATATCCCATATATATATTATCTAATGATTCGTGTTCCGATGACTTTGCCCATAACAATAAACACGGGTCACAGCGTATTTAGCAACGGCTACACGCTCCCTGTGGGTATTATGACGCTATATCTTTTGATATTTGCATCATGAATGACATAGCTTATTGCCTTCGAAATTTCTTTTATTCAACTCGCGTTGAAACTTTCGAGTCTTACTGTTTTTGACTTCCCAATTTGATGATGCTCTGTGTATGCATTCCCACACAGACGCGAATATTAAAATTGATTGTGTGCTAGAATACTGAGATAGATACTGATACGTCAACATTCTACTCTTTCAGCATACCAATAAATCTAAAAACTCCAACTTTTCATGTGAGATTGAAAAAATTTTATATTTGAAAAGATAAATTTTTAGTAAGTTTACATAAAGAAAAAGTGCCTTGAATGAATGAAATAAAAAAGTCAATCTACAATATTGGGTGTCCAGAATTGAAGATTCAAATCGTTGTCTTATCATGTTTCCATATCAGTAATTTGAAATTAGCAAATATCAATTTATTTTAATTCAAATACCGTATGGAAATAAAAAATTGATAAAATACTAATAATAGTTTTATCGAAAATTACATGATTATTCAACGTAAACGTGTGATGACACTGTTTTGAAGGAAATTAACTTTAAAATTTGAATAAATTCAGCAAACATTGAGTATGAATTTTTTGTAAAGAAATAGCATTCATCAAATTAAATCTGAATATTGTTTTGGTATCAAAACGTAGGTTTATAAGAAAATAATGTTCCATGTCTAATTAAAGATTTATATAACATTGTGAGGAAATTGTGATATAGGTTAAAATGTGGATTATTCTTTTCGCACTGTCATTGCAACTCGGACTCGACTCAAAACCAGGCCAATAGACTCGAAACAAGGATCCAATACTGTACCAACGCAAGCTCCCCATAATTTTCCAACGAAACCAATCTGAAATATATAAAAAAGAAGATTATCATAGCACCGATTAAAATGCATTTTTATATTGTTTTCAGGTGATAACGTAACAATGTCACGTGTTTGGCAACGCTGAGTTTAAATAATAATATAGAGAAAATACAGACTAAAATATCAAATTCACAATTCAACTGCAAACTATTGTTGCACAGAACGATAAATTCGTTACGATATATCCTCAGATAAATATTTGAAATCTACGTCATGCTTGTGGTGTAACACCCATTTATATTATTTTAGTATGAAAGCTTTAGTATAAAAGCTAATCATATTTATTAAAGTACAGTATGTTACTTCAGCATAGGCTTGCACGTAATTGACAAAAATCAATTCCGTAATTACGGCCAAATCGATTACGTAATGACCCCGTAATTGCGATATTTTTTTCACACTTTTAAACCTATCATAACAACCAATTTAATCCACTTCTATTCCGAATGGGACATCGACAGTTGGGACAGTTTGGTTTTCATATTTCCGCCAGTACTACACGCCGGCGACAGATGCTAATGACAAACATCAAGGAGTGAATTCAAATTAATTTTATTCTGATTTTTATCTTTTGTGTTAGCTTTGATTTTCCTTTATCAACTTTATCACCCAATTTTATGCGATCAATTTCATCATTACCAACACTGGTAAGTGGTAATATATTTATGAAACGATAGTTGACTTTTTTAAAATCGTATTAACGTATTAATACGAGTTTCGTATTAAATAAAAATTCCGGGTTTCTAATTTATAAATCAACGACGAGCGTATTCTCTCGTTTGATTATACTTGCGCTTGCCTCGCGACGAAGACTTGTTATTGTACCGTTTTTTACATTATCCGACTTTACTACCTAGTCAGCATTTTATAATAATTATTGATGCCGAGTTATTGACGATATTCCGATTACCATGCTTCATTTTACATTAAATCATTTCGCGGCCTAAATGTTATAACATTATTTGCGATCAATTTAGATCAAATTTAATTATTTGCGCATAATTTAACTCCGAAAATACAAAGGTATATCGCAAAACAATGCATTTTGTGACATTTATTTTGCACTCACGAAAATATTAATTTACTTTTCTAACTCAAGTCGACAATCCTATCGGCTAAGATTGACACAAGTTTGGTCGAGTGCCGGTGGTATCGGAGTCGACCATAAATCAAAATAAGTTGCCGCATTTGGTGAAGACTTAAAGATTTTGTAAAGACATATTTGGCCGAAATAGTGCGAGGCATTGTGAAAACAAGACCAAGTCCGGACAGATATATAACGATAAAACCGGTAACAGAACATCAAGATTTTGTAATAGAAAATGGATCTCGCGCAGAATAAACATGGGAAATCCCGTCTTTTTGTTGTTTCTCTGCCGTCTGAATCGCTTTACCGATGCCGAAAAGACTAAGTTGCGTTGGTTCATTACGCAATTTCTCTTCCGTCGTCATATTGCTGTTTGATAAGCGCGACATTAATTATCACGGCATTTACAAATAGACCATGTTTGGTAAGTTGATCCCTTACATTCTTTAGTCATTTCACCCGAAGAAGTTGAAACCAGGTGTGTTGGCGTCCATCGGTCTCAACACAATTCTATCCCATATCTACGCTTATTATGTACATTTGCCATGCTAGATAAGTTGATAATAGGTTAGTAAATGGCAACGCGTTATGCCTTCTCCATCTGCGTAACAAGAGAGAGAAAAACGGCTGCGAATACCGGAACTCTAACTTCTTCTACTTATTAAACTTTAATTTTTTACAATCGACGGAATTGACTGCTCTGAAGAGAGCTCGTTTCAATCGCGAAAACGCTCCACCAATAATTACGAATTTACGTAATTCCTAACTTCGCTTCCGTAACTCGAAATAATTCCGTAATTCCGTAAATCCGTAAATTACGTGCAAGCCTACTTCAGCAATAGTCAAATCAAAGAAAACTATACTTTCATCATTTTCAGAAATACTATCACGAAATGAAAAAATGTTTGCAACAATGCTACAAGTTCGGATATTAATATTTTTTTTGGATTTTTGTCTGAAGCCTAAACATCTTGGCAGATTTCAAGGTGTCGTCGTATCATGAAAACCATCGCACGGTCATATTTAAAGTAATATTACCTTGATGATGAATGAACGAATGCATGGCGTGATGCACCATACGCTGCAGAAAGCGAGACACGAGAAGTAGATACCCCAAAATAATGAGATTGGGATTCCAAAAATTAACGACATGACTCGGTAGATCCAATATTTTGTAAGTGAATAGACCTTGTAGCTTGTTCCCCATACAGTCTCGAAACTGTGAGCTCCGGATGGTTCCGCGATAATGTCGGCAAAATTAACCTTCGTAAAAGTGAACAAATGTAGTTTTAAAATATGTAAGTAGCTAACAAAGTACTCTAGAGAAATATAGCTGTCAGTTATAATAAAGCTTAGTTTGCATATACAGTACTTTGGTTTAATGATCGTTAGTGCACGCATATTTGCAGTTTATTACGTCCCATTGTCATTTATGAACGAGATTGCGATCAATATGGCGTGCATAGAAATAAAAATGTATTAGAGATTATCTAGATCAGATAAGCAATATCTCATGCCACTATAGTTAATGCCCAGGAGTAATCTCAGTAATTTCACCCAGAAGGATTCTATTTCACAATAGTGTCGAGCATTACCTAAATTGCATATATACAATCAAAGTATGAGCAGTCATTTTCGTGTAATCTAATTTTTGTTGTTCTTGTTATGAAAAAATAAAACCATAAATGTTTTATTTTTTGAATAATTACGTTTACAATCCAATAAACAGTCAATAAATTTTGAGTTTCAGCATTAGTTAATCCTTTTTAATACCTTCAATAACCAAGTTCCACTCTGGTATGAGAGCTTTGATAACAAAATCTATAATTAAATATAGATAGCGTTTAACATACCTTCACATCCTCGTGAATATTGTTGGGATCTCTATTGTCGTAGTCGATAGAATCCGCTTTTTCTGAAGGCTGTTTTGACGTTGGCTGATCTACGTTAACTCCGTCATCCATTTCGATGGATTCCATACCAGCATCATCGATATGCATGCTAACTGGGTCTCCCCCAGATCTTTGGCTTTCGTTCATTGATTGTGGTCCAGATCTTTGACTGAAGTTTGGATCTGCACCTCCAGATCTTTGACTATCAACGGGCATCATTTCTATCTCCGATTTTCTTTCCAAAGATTTACGGGAACCACTCAAGTTACCAGAATCCATTCCGAGGTCTTAGTCCGACAAACGTATTTATATATTGTACGGAGGCTATCGACGCGAACCCACTGATGACATTACCGGCAACTCGATCAAGGCGATGGAATCTCCTTGTCAGCTGTCGAAACGTTTGCGCAGATGCGTCTCGGGAAAAACGATCAGTGTGTTAATGCATTATAATAACATGGAGAGAGTGAGAGTGCTGAAGAGGTGTTATCTTTTGGTCTCTCTTTTAAGTGCCACTTTTCTCACTCCAATAGATTGTGCGTTTGTGATCGCCAATGTTCTCTTATATCGTACTTCATTCATTCATTCAACCTGCCTCATATTGAACTCATTAAACATTGACAAGGTCTTATATTATTTTTAAATATTACTGGAAATCAAGCATGTTGTTCAGTGCAAAGCAAGTAGTTTTCGCAAAAAAAAAATACGCAAACGAACGAAACCTGCTTAAGAGAAGCAAACTTAATTTCGGACCTTGACATTTTTGCGATTATTTGCGATCTTACTTCGCTAGCAGTTTTGACTTTACCTATGGAATAACTTAAATATCGGGTGCGGTAAATTGTTTGTTCCTGCAGAGGTATCTAATCTATTGTCTATCCTTTGTATTGTTAGGTCTTGCCAATTAATAATGTGAAATTTTCACAAATTATTTCATCTTTTCTGTCTCGAGTACGTCTGGACAAGACTATCTCTACAAATAGGAATGAACGAAATCAATACACTTTTGTGTCATATATAGTATCATAATATCGCATTCGATATAATCATGCTTTTAGGGGTAATATAGGATTATGGCGATCGCTATAATAATACCGATTTGATCGATTTTAGTTAATTGTAAATTTACGAATAAAACAAAGGAAAAGGTCCACAGTGTATTCGGATTTTCCTTTTAGTAACAAACTACATGATTGCATAGTACATCCATATAAAGACTTTTTCGGTCGTTAAAGCATGTGCATGATTTGATGATTAAATTTTAGATCTCTGGAGTAAATATGATACTACCTGGTTCAAAAGTTTTAACCTATAGAGTTTCTCGTACATCAACTAACTTTCTACCGTGTCTTGCATTTCTTCGAACGAATATAGGGCCAAATAGCAATCGGCTGTCATTGTCATAGAAACTAAACTCAAAAAACATTGTCTAGAAGCATCTAATGCAACGCGATCCGCCCATTCTGTCGAATCATTCACACCAACCCGGAAGACGGAAAAGATGATAAGAAGGCTAAATAGCGTGGCAAGTTATGAAAGTATTTAATCCGACATTAATTTGATCTTGGATCAATTCAATCGAATGGGATGACCATTTATGAAATACATGTACGGCGAAATGGGTACTTGTAATTTAATTTAAATAAAAAGCAATCTATTAATTTAGTTTCTAACTGAGCAATGAATAAAATTCAGTCTCAGATTTGCTACTATATGCCAGATGCATAAGAATCTGTGGATTTGATGAAGTTCTGCAAAATAAAAATGTTAAAATACGGGATGTAGGCATAAATTGGGATATCAACTGAACTAAAATAGCCTACTTATCTTTAGACAAGAAAACTATGATATGACGTATACATGTTTACTGATCAAAAATTGAGAACGCTGAAAAATGGGTATTTTAGCAATTACAAAATCTAAAACATTGTCCGAAAAAATATTGGTTATAATTCTTATAAGATTTTGTACACTATTTATCACCGCCTTTCTTTTGATGAAAATTTTGATATTCTGTGCGTTTGTGTCGTTTCAAGATCATTACAAAACGTGCATCAAATGATAGATACAGTACTGACTTACTGCACTGCTTTTCAGCCTTTTTTTGATATTCTCGATGTTTTCTAGTTTTATCCATCTATTCTGCAAAATGTCACAGGTCTATTAGTGTGACGTGTGCTGGTGAGTACACTTTTTTATTCGTTCCCCTTACACAGTAAATATATTTATTAATTATTTATTCTTTTCGTAATGATAGTGTATATATAACACGGCTCTATCGGATATTGTCGACAGCGTTTAAGCTCAGCCTTAACTCGAGCTCGGTTTGTTGTCTCGTCTACATTTTGCATCCTCCAGCAAAGATGTAACGACATCGCACATTCAAGAAGATTAACACACACGCGAACTCATCGCTCAATTAATTGTGTCCTGTTGAGACTTGACATACTTTTGCCAAACAAGAAAGTCCTATCGGATTCATAAGTGATAACTCAATGGGAGTTATATCCCTAATTAATGAAAGTTGTAAAAGGTATTTTATTATAATCATACGGATATATATTTTATACATTAATATATGCAGTCTGCAGCGATTTAGAATAGCAGTAATCTCAAGTCCAAAATATAAAAGTACAGCCACGACACTCAAGACAAGCATAGGTAAAAATGAAAGGATAATATATATGATAATTCCTGATTGTACCACATCGAATCACGGTAATGTATTCCATCAGTCGTCTAACATTTGAATTGTCCTCAATCCCATATGGCAACCTCAACTATCCCAAACCGCCCATTGGGTGAACATCGATTCTTCATTTCCTCCTACATCGATCTGACTAATTTACCCAAATGACACACACTTATTTTTCCAGAAAAATCCTATATTGACGGATATATATATTGTAAATGGTTTTATTAAAAATACAAGAATAATATGTTACTGCTGAAAATTATAGAATAAAAATAAGATAATTTCAAATATAATATTGAAATCACATATCAACCCCGGTTATTTTGCTGACTGTAATAAAATGACATGAGAATTCAGCTAGACTAACAGAAACGTTCGATTACTCGATAAAAACTTGTGAATGTTGTTTGCGACAAGCTTCAGAATTTTAAAATGTAAAAAATTTCTCAAAGTCTTTTTCCAAATCATATGTAACAATAAAAAATTTAAACAATAAATTTCTCAGTTCGGACACGCAAATTGCTGAAGATGAGTCCAAAGCTTTTGTAGAATGGATCAAAAATGGTAGAAATGCAGACCGACCAGAACCCACTGAGACATGACATATTGATGAGGTGTCCTCTTCTACATGGAGCAAATATCCAGACGTTCACAGCAGCAAGAAAAGCGAAGATAATGCCCCAGATAAAAGCAAAAGGAATTCCACAGAAGAAAGTAGTGATCGAATAACAGCATGCTCGGCCGAAACCAAAAACTTCATGACTAAGATGCCAAGATACCTTGGGAGTGTAGAAACCTTCGGGCTCATTTATGATGTTTTCGAATCCAACCTGAAAATATAAGGTATATATATAATTGAATTTTAGATTAGCAAAAGTGTAGGCTATATATATATAAATAATCAACATGGTGATTTCTCAATTGGCGGTGTTTGATTATAAAGACTTTCCAGCCAAAAATGATAAATTGGCTCGTTTGACTGTACTTATCGATGAAGATTCGCGATTTTGATTGAGAATTGAAGATATATTGAAACGCTTTGATACCGAATATCCTTTTGATATATACGTGTAAAAATTCTACCGCCATCATCATGGGACAATGCGATCTTGGTTAATTAAGGCTTAAAGGTATTCATGCTTTTAAATTAATTAAATAAATCAATAGGCTATATACTACGATTAAATATGTGAATAAGAGAAAGGAATATTATTACCTTTAATTCTTCATTGACTCTTTCTGGATCTCTATCTTCTCTGGATTTAAATGCTCTAACCGGCAAATGCAAACCTTTTAAACCTTTCTTTTTCTTTTGTACTGGTTCGGTTTCAATAACAACCTCGTCTCCATTTTCGGCCATTGACAACTTTGCTAAAGACCCTTGCAAAGATTCAGCTTTGGCTGATTCGTTATCTTTGATTTGGGCCGGGTCTTCAACTGGACTTCTTCTGACAATAGGAGCATCTCCAGCGGAATCCATTCTGTATTCAAGATGTTATACTTACCGAACAAAACTTTCTTGCATTGACTTATTGCTTTCTAACCGGCTTACTCTCCCGTTGCTGATGTCTTGATTCAAAGTGAATGCTTTTTCCCTCAGGACTTCTTGTTTTAATATGACGCAGAGGCAACTGGTTAGCTCCTCGAATGGGTGGTAAATATATTAAAGAAACAAAAACGATAGTCGGCGTTGATGAGATCTGCACGCATTTGACACTTCTTTAGAGGCGACATTGCTTTTCCATACAGCAGTATTTATGTATTGTTAACATTGATGGGCTAATTCCACCATCAACAAAGGTGTCGATCACTCCGACAGACAATTTGTCTCAAGCTATCTGTTCACATTGAAAACTGTTGACTTTGGATGCTTGATTGTAGGTGGAGATTGTCCATAGAGTAGTTATGTACAAGATCTGATAATTTTAGACTTTATAATTGAATGACCACAGTGGATAAACAATGCTTTGTACTGTCTGTGTTTACTTCTTTTACTCGACTCATCCTTTTAATGTAAAACGCTTTATTTTTCACAAGGAAATAGGGAAACGTCCTCATGTGAGGAAACTCGCGAATCAAGCGAAATGATGCCACAATGACAGGGTACGTTTAGTTTGGGGTTTATTCACATTTTCACAGTCAAGGATAAATAAATAATCACAACCCAAGCCCAAGTTCAAATGTTCCGCTGTTAACACTGAAACTATATTGACATAGAAAGGCAATTTTTCGTTTTTGCTCGTAGTGCGCACATTCCATCGCAGACCCAACTCGGCTATTTCACCGGCGGTAGACCAAAACAAGAGACACGCTTCGAAGTTTGTATAATCCCAAAGGGACGATATATAGATAGAGACTGCTATCATTTTGAAAGATACATAGCCTACTTGTTATGATAAAAACATCATTAGGTAATGTGACACTGTCTCAAGTAATTTTACTCGGATTTGCGAGAGAAACAAATCGAAAATTTCTAAATAAAAAAAGAAATCAGAGCATGTATTCAGGGCCGGATCAACCCTTCCATAAACATGGGAGTTAGTTGGATTCCTCGTTTCATTTATTGTACAGCAACCAATCAAAACTAAACGATATTAACAAATACGTACACGAAGTTTTTACTTCGACATTGAAAGACATTCGACCAAGCTTGTTAATAGCTTCATTGTCTCCTTCATTGTCCACAATTATCCAGATTTACCAAAGATATATCTAGAATTATATTGATCCCTCAACAAAATATATTTACTGGCATTGGTGAGTCTATTCTTGATGATTGTAAGTATTTCTTAATTTTTTAGACTTGAAAATCAGCAAGAAGCTAGCGTCTGAATCATTAGATGGGTTTAGGAATGCAGCGTCATCTGCACCTGTCCGCATGCATTTTAAACGAATGAATGTGATAACATAATTTCTCTCCATAGGTTTGAAAGACTCTATAAGGTAAAATAAATCCAGCTTGGCAATCTCTGACTCATATTTGTATAAAAAGATGCTTCAACTGGTTAAAGTGAGTTCTTATGACTTTGTTGCAAGTCTATAAGTTTGTTACTCTCGGCTGCAATATCACTTATTGCAACTCTGCCACGGCGTTTCACAAAGGAAGCAACGGCTTGCAACTCATCCATAGTAATGTATATCAATTTTCCTCGGTCGTCGATCACTCCTGAAATATTTCAAAAAAAGTCATAGATCTTCTCACCTATTTTTGGCATACATTTTACCAGATATGATCCTATGGTTTAGTAATTCACCTTATAAGTACTCTTTCTACATTCACACAGTGGTATAAAACAGTAACTTTCCAACGGTATTCTGCGTAAAATTGTTGCTTTCCATTTTTTGACATATTTTATGGTAAAAAATCAATAAGCTTGTATTTGCGAGGAAATAAGAGTCCCCGGAATCAGATTTAGGACCTCATGACATAACAATAGACATTTATTCAATCAATAGGATTTGTCAGTATAGTTAAGTAGTTTGTAAAAATGCTAGAAACAGAACTGTGTGTGTCCCTGCCGGAATATAAGACTTGTTTCCATTGAGGCACGCCTATTTCTAGCAACCAACAACCTGTTTTAGACAATTCTCAGTGATGTTTCAGTATTTTGCGGTCTGAATTTAAACAAACTGTAACTTGTATTTTAGCTCGTTGTAGACCGAAATATGAATTTGAGAGTCTCTTACCTATCAGCGTATATACGCTATTGGTCTTACAACTAATTTCTTTCAATGAAAAATAATTATAGAGATAGGAATTGACTACTTTTGTAATGTTTCACCTGTAATAGATTCATCCTCTAATAAATCTTTCACTCGATCAATCGCCTCTTGTGTTCGCATGCCGAAATGAGAAGCCAAATCTTCCAGCAAAACAACCTTATTTTCCTTTAAATTAATTGCATGACAATAAGTTAGAAATCGTAAACGCTTCATGAATATACTAGTTATTAACTTAATGCCTGGTTTCATTCCAATGCACGCCACCGAGTGACAAACCATTTAGACCTGACATGGGCAAACTACGGCCCGCGAGTCAAATCCGTCCCGTTGTGTAATTCAATCTAGGCTTGCACGTAATTGACAAAAATCAATTCCGTAATTACGGCCAAATCGATTACGTAATGACCCCGTAATTTCGATATTTTTTTCACACATTTAAACCTATCATAACAACCAATTTAATCCACTTCTATTCCGAATGGGGGACATCGAAGTTTGGTTTCCATATTCCCGGCAGTACTACACGCCGGCGACAGATGTTAAAGACAAATATCAAGGAGTGAATTCAAAATAATTTTATTCTGATTTTTATCTTTTGTATTAGCTTTGATTTTCTTTTATCAACTTTATCACCAAATTTTATGCGATCAATTTTATCAATACCAACACTGGTAATATATTTATGAAACGATAGTTGACTTTTTTAAAATCGTATAAACGTATTAATACGACTTTCGTATTAAATAAAAATTCCGGGTTGCTAATTTATTAATCAACTACAAGCGTATTCTCTCGTTTGATTATACATTCGCTTGCCTCGCGACGAAGACTTGTTATTTCACCGTTTTTACAATATCCGACTTTACTACGTAGTTAGCATTTTATAATAATTATTGATGCCGACTTATTGACGATATTCCGATTTCCATGCTTCATTTTGCAATAAATCATTTCGCGGCCTAAATGTTATAACATTATTTGCGATAAATTTAGATCAAATATTGATTATTTGCGCCTAATTCAAAATACCGTACTTATATGACATGCCTTCTCCGAAAATACAAAGTTATATCGCAAAACAATGCATTTTGTGACATTTATTTTGCACTCATGAAAATATTAATTTATTTTTCTAACTCAAGTCGACAATCCTATTTGCCAAGATTGACACAAGTTTGGTCGAGTGCCGGTGGTATTCGAGTCGACAATAAATCAAAATAAGTTGCCGCATTTGGTAAAGACAGGTAATCATATTTGGCCGACATATTGCGAGGCATTGTGAAAAACATCTTGAGCAATGCCAAGTCCGGACAGATATATAACGATAAAATCGGTAACAGAACATCAAGATTTTGTGATAGAAAATGGATCTGGCGCAGAATAAACACGGGAAATCGCGTCGTATTGTTGTTTCTCTGCCGTCTCAATCGCTTTACCGATGCCGAAAAGACTAAGTTGCGTTGGATCATTACGCAATTTCTCTTCCGTCTTTACATTGCTGTTTGATAAGCGCGACATTAATTATCACGGCATTTACAAATAGACCATGTTTTATAAGTTGATCTCTTACATTCTTTAGTCATTTCACCCGAAGAAGTTGAAACCAGGTGTGTTGGCGTCCATCGGTCTCAACACAATTCTATCCCTTATCTACGGTTAATATGTACATTGGCCATGCTAGTTAAGTTGATAATAGGTTAGTAAATGACGCGTTATGCCTTCCCAATCCGCGTAAAAAGAGAGAAAAAAACGGCTGCGAATACCGGAACTCTAACTTCTTTTACTTAAACTTTTAATTTTTTACAATCGACGGAATTGACTGCTGTGAAGTAAGCTCGTTTCAATCGCGAAAGCGCTCGACCAATAATTACGACTTTACGTAATTCGTAACTTCGCTTCCGTAACTCGAAATAATTCCGTAATTCCGTAAATCCGTAAATTACGTGCAAGCCTAATTCAATCTGACCCGCATTCTGCTGCCAGAACCAAACTAAATTTTGATGTTTAGCTAAAAAAATAGCTCAATAAATTTGTTGAAATTGCGATTAAATTTAGTTTTAAATTTTATACGTCACACTTACACGGCCCGCCAGTAAAGTTGAACAAATTTTTTCCCTGATAGACGCATAATCAACGTTCGCCATTTCAATTTTAAAATTGATAAGTAGTGACGAAAAAAAGGAATTACTTTTATATAATCAATAAATATCTGCAATTTAGATTGTTCTTGTTCTTCATCGTCATTTTCACACTGGCCTTCTTCGTCTATTTCAAATGATTTTTTCATTTCAAGGTACAGTTCATGATCCTCTCTTTCTTTTTGCTCCTTAACTAGTCTTTCTTCTTCTTCCTTTAAAATAGGAGGAAATAGAAATATTTAGAGCAATGACCAAGTATATTAAGCCAAAATTGGTTGTCCATCATGGTGGTAGAAAACTTTCGCAATTTTAGAGATTCAAAATTGAGCAAATTTTTCTCAGGAAGCGTAACAAACTGTAATCAAAATATTCCCCCTCTTATAAACGTCTTTGAGTACTAAACAATCGGTGAACAATCGGTTCAGCAGTTGAAGAAACTAAACATTTTTTGTCTCAATATCACTAACAAAAATAAATTTATTTATCCCATTGTGAAAACAACAAAAAACACAATACCTCCAAAAATATACTCACTTTTTGCTTCTCAAACTCTATTTGTTTTTCTTCTTTAATTTTCCTCAATTCCTCCTCTTCTATTTGTCGCTTCTTTCTTTCTCCTCTTTCCGCTTCAACCATTTCTCTTAGTTTTCTTTTTTCCTCCTTTTCTTGTATTTTTTTCAACTTTTTTGCACCGATTTTTTCAGCTGGACCTTTTTCATCGTCATTTTCTATTTCTTCGATGGCGTCTCCTTGTTGATGACTACAAAATGAATGATTGATATGAAGTTATTGTAACATGGGATTTTTCAAAATATGTAATATTACGTATAACATTATTTCTTCATAATTGAGCCAAACTGACATACTTTCAAAGAATATCGGAACTCAATTGAGCGTATTTTTCATTTCGAGAACAACGTCTCGTCGAGGCTCGGCACTTCGAATAGTGCATCAGCACTAAATTGTGAAGCCATCCAATATGCCACAGCCTTAAAATTCAATAAGAAAAATACTGAGTTGGAATCTGTAACCCCAGCCATTGCTGAACATATCATGAACTGTTGGCATACTTGGTAGATTCCTGTATTCTTGCGCGTATATTTCTCCTTCGACGGACGACGTCGGCATTAGCGTCACGAGACTCGTCTGTTCGCTTGTCACTTTTATGGTCGCCTGTATGAAAAATAATATATATATATACATATATAAACAATATGTAGTATATTGAAGAAATTTTAACTAATACATAAGTAAAGATATTTTGGAAGTAAACTAGATAGCTGACACCTTCATAATTAAAAATGAAATGCAAAAATAGCCAAAAAAATTATTTAGGCAGTGTTTCATGCGTCATTGTTGAGCAAAATAACCTCCTTCACAATACCTTCCACTGCATGTTGTTTCATGAACGATTTGAAATCAGTCGTCGGATCTGGACGGTTGTAACCTTTCAAAAATAATACGATGGCATAAGAATGGTATAACAAATCGTCTGGTAAAATAGTTATACTAATTTGTTTAAAAAACGTTACCTCGAAGCTTCCACATTAAAAAGAATATTCCGGTAACGATGAAAACGACGTAAAAGATCATTACGTAGAACATATTTTCCTTCGATGGACCAAAATTGATTCCATAGTTCGATTCATCAAAATTATCTTGGCTATTTTCGTCCATAATCTTCTTTTGTTATACTTACTTAGGCTATTTACTGAAATAATACTTCACGGACAGAAATTGACGGATCATTTAGTATTCTTATTATTGTGTATGTACAGTGCAACTTTATATCATTAAATATAGGAAATATTGCCATCGATTGTTCTGGTATAAGCAGCGCCGGATTAACCATTAAACAATATAAGCACGTGCTTAGGGCACCAAGCAAAGAGGGGCACCACAGAAATTTTAGAGCAGAATTTTATACAGTTTATGGGTATTTATTAAAATATTACGAGTTCACCAGGCGAGTCAAACTTCAAAATGTTCGCTTATTAATTAACCTTCTTTACTAAAAATAAACACTGAAACTTATTTATTGGACACGAAATGGGCCTATGAGTCGTTTCCTTAAATTGTTGTTGTTGTTTTTTTCTTTCTAGTATTCACCTTGTCGCTGCATTTTTATTTTCAAAATTTTTTTATTCTCTTCAACAATTGGACCAATGAACTATTTACACTATGTGGCGATTCCACGATCGCATTTCAACGATATATTGGTCAGCAAAGTCGGGAGTTTCTTGATAAGGTAGACCAAGGTGGTCCAAACTCTGCGTCGGCCATGTGACAGTAGTGACGAAACGCAGAGCCGACTTAGCGCTGCGTAATCCAGTTTTTTTTCAGTTAGGCCCCGAAATACCAACTGAGACGGACTTGGTTGGTATTTGACGATGTCACTAAGCTTGCTTACGCTGCAAGTTTTCAAACTACTCAATATACCAATTCGTAATAAAAATGAGTGTCGCAAGAAAGGTGACATAAGAGAACACGGCGGAAATGTATTTCCTTGCCCATCACATAGTGTGAGTAATATCTGTCACGAAAGAATATAATTTGAAGCGACATTAAACGCGAGATGCGCAAAATACAACGGTAATTAACTTTAAAATAAATGAAGGCTCTATATATCTTCTTTAAAAGAACGCCACCCATGCAACATGATAATAGTCTGATTAGAACGGTGAACTTTCGTTGTTTATTAAATTTAAAGTAAGTAAACTCGCGATATTTTGATCACTTTTGGGTTTTCTCCGACTTGCGGCCCGCGAGAGCTCCTCAAAAGTTTTTGCGGTCCTTCAACATAGCAACCTTGAACCACTTTGAGGTAGACTACTAGGTACCGGTAAAATCCAAACTACAGTTGTGACTTGTATCCTTTGGTATTTCGATTCACGTTGAGACTGGAGGCTTGAATCTTTATTGTCACACTCCCTCAGGATTAGCCCAACCGATATATCGGCCCGATATTGCGTGTTTGCATATATATAATATCGGCAGTTAACGGCCGATATATATATCGGCTATATATAACAGTTAAAAAACCTAAAATTGTTCGTAAAAGTTGTTCTATTTACTGTTGGTTGTGATTATCTTTAATGGATAATACACTTATGTGGTTTATTGTTTTTATAATTAAATTACACATGAGGGGGCACCAAAGTCTTCAGTGCTTAGGGCACCAAAGGGGCTTAATCCGCCCCTGGGTATAAGAATACTAAGATTTCACTGATACTAACTCATTATTCATTCATTTTTTTTTTATATATTCCACATTTAACTGTTCGACTCAGTGTATACTGTAGCCTGCATGCACACAAATTATTTTAATTTCATTTACCAGCATACCAAACAATACAATTCTCTATGAAATGAGTAGTCTCTATAATGCATTCATTCACCCCAATCCGGAAATCCAGGCAATTTTAATGTAGTACATCATGTTCAATTAGGGTTTTGTAAAGCGACAACATTGGATTAGGCAAATATTGTCGAAATAATAGCAAATAGTGGTAACGTGAGTGCGTATGATGCTTTTAAATTTTCTAGTTTGTGCTCTATCAAGTCCCGACTCTTGATATTCTGTTACTATTAAAGTTGATTGGTACGGTTTGGAGCCAATTATATTCCTTATTATCTCACCTCAAAATCATTGAAAGTTTGCAAGCACTAAATACTCCCTGTTAAAAATAGCTTCAACCAATATATTGTTGGTATTGACATTTACTCTCGTCAGTTTACAACTTTGAATAGCAGCGGTTCCTAAACGGAATCGTGATTTTCTACATATTGGTCAAATGTTAAATACCTGTGAGGGTTTTGCAAGAATTTCAATTCAACTCAACATAAGAAAGAGACAATAAAACAAACAATGTCGTCTAATGCAAAGATGAACTATGCTATACTGAAACATCTTCGCCGGAAAATATATATAAGATCTTCAAACCTTTTTCTTAACTAATTCAATATTATTCAAATCAGTATACTTTGAGAGCTTGCGTTCTACTAAATAAAGATTCTAAACTGCGAACTGTGTGGACAATATGGTAGGTATACTGTTGGAAATTGTAACCAGATGTAGCCCTACATAAACTACGGTTAACTTAAAATACAGGAAGCCTAGTTGTTTTTCGTGACATGCGTCATGCATTGTTTCTGTTCAGCTTGCACGGTGGCAATAGGAGAGTGGGCCAAATATAATTACGAATAAAATGAGGGTTGGGTTGACCATTAAGCAAAATAAGCACGTGCTTGGGGCACCACAAAAAATGAGGCACCACAGAAACTTTCATGGACGAATTTTCACTGGTGCGGCAGTATTTAACGAAATGATTCGAGTTGGTCAGACGATTCGGACCTCAATATTAGCCAAGTTGGAATGAATTTTTGAATATTTTTATTCTCAAGTATCATCTTACACATTGCTATAAATGTTTGCAGGCGTGAGAACTATTTAAAAAAATATCATGCAAATCGATCATACCTTAGTAATCAGTAGTTTATTTTTTACCATATTGGAAATACCTGTTGTACATACAAAATGGGGTAAAAAAACAAAATTGCATTTCAGGGTGAAAGGTGACAAAATAAGAGAAGTGACTCGAGAAGTAGTCGAATTAATACACAAGGCTAAATTGACTACAATGGAATCACCAGCATAAGGGATCGAAGGAGCAGTGGATGAGCTTGGCATTGATGTAAAACGGTGCCATGACAGCAGGGATGTCCCATTCAAATTAAATATTCGAATATCGTTTCAAGTTTTTGTAAGAATATCGAATTTAGCGCACACATTTTTTCGCCGCCGCCGTCCACGTTCTGATCGAAAATATTTTACAATTATCTTTTATTTTATCTTAACTGAAGAAAGCCGTGTGCATCGTTTCGTGTGCGTCCGTGTATATATATCGTTTTTGTTGACGATGCATGGGTAATAACTTCTGCGTTTTTCTAAATGAATTTACACTTTGGCGATCCAAATAAAAATGAAATGGAGGGATAATTGTGAGATGGGCAGAAGTGACGGAATTTAGCTTAACGATGTCGATGGGCTAAATGACACTCAGGCTGTCGAAAAACAGCTAAAAAATTCATAGCTGAAATTAGACTTGTCAAAAAGTGCGTGTGTTGTTAAAATAAAGTTTATTGTTGATGCTGTATAGCAAGAAGCTGAACTACTGCAAAATTACAGCTACAACTTTCCCAGTTTTAGGTATCAAAGATATTTTGTTTATAAGGATTAAATAATATAAGGACTTTGATTTTACTTTGGTATTTAAACATTTCGCTGGGCGCCCAGTTTCTGTACTTGCCAATTTACACCACAATTCGTAAGTATAGACACTGTAATGTTTATTAATTCTATATTTTCAGGAACAAATTTCAACCATATCTCACATGCGATATGTTTTATTTATATCTGCTATATTATGAAGATATTATTGAGGCTCAATTCTTACGCCCGTGGATTTCAATAAAATGAATAAAATAGGATTTATGCATAGGGGGATTTTAGAATTTATTTGCTTATGACCATCTCTGCGACAGTACTTCATCGAGATGTCACGAATTGTTGAGAGGTGCTGCAAGTGACACCACATGGATTTCAGGAGAACGTGATTGAGACATTAGCTAAAAGCAAAAGCACCCACGTCAGTTTGGATGAACCCGATAAGATACCAAAAGGGACAAGCGAAATGACACTATAGCGTAGTGGGATAATGGATGACCGATGTGTCGAACCAGTCTGGATCAGTGCTCGTCCACCGGGTGTAAAAATTTTGAAGCCAAATATTATGGGGCATGCACTACTATACGTATGTATATATAGGAAATTGGCAACTTGTCACAAATAAACCAAAACGAGTGTTTAAACCTGTAGGCTACACAGCAAATGTCTGGCGTTTCCACCAAAGTTTTTGTTAACAGTTGTCAGGATACCTTTCGTGACAGTTTGATTCATTTCAAATTGTGTGTGAAACTGGAAATGGATTGGATATGTCATTTGAATTTTTCTAGCATAAAAAAATGAATGGGAAAGCAATTCTGCTGTCATTGTGGAAATCATTTCTGGTGTACTCCTCGAATTACGATCAGAATTGGTGCAAAAGACAGGCTCAAAACATTACAAAGCTACAACAAATTCTGGGTAGGCCTACTAGAAGTTTCTGAATAGCAGTGTTGCACAGATATTTGTTCCATGCTCACTCGAATGTTTATAATATAGCTTTCCGAGCAAGTATTTTTTGCTTCCATAAAAATAATAACAAGTGGTGTTGGTCTGTACATTCGAAATGACCTGAAATACATTGTCCGTAAGGATCTCATTATCATGTGTGAGAAGGTTTTTGAATCCATATTTATTGACATATCATTAGAAAATAAAACAATAACCTGCGGTACTATATTTATAGATCACCACTAACTGATGAATTGAACAATGCTAACTTTCGACATCTTTTGTCCCAAGTTCTCTCAAAGATTAACAGGTCGAATTATAATTATATAATGGGTGATTTCAACTATAATCTTATTGATGATTCCAATATGAATACCAGCCTATTTGTTGATATGATGCGCAGTCTGGCCTATTATTCTCTGATAAACTGTCCCACCAGGATAACTTCAAGTTCTGCTACCTGTATAGACCACATTTGGACAAACGTATATGATAACAAAAATTAACAGTGCTGTTTTAGCAGAATGTATTTCTGATCATTTGCCAATTGTACAATGCTCTCTCCTAG